ACGAGCGCGCCGCGGGCAGGCGCTGTAGATGTTGTTTTGGGAGCGCGGTCGCGGCGACCCGCGGGTCCTCTGGGAGCTCTCCAGTACGCGCATCATCACGGCCAGTCGGCGGGCCCGCCTGGAGAGGGCTTCCCCGCAAAGTCACAGGAAGAGGGAGGAAAATGGCATCAGAGGCCCGTGCCACCTTCCCCAAACGAAAGGCTGCCTCCTCCCTCGGGCTTGGCAGTGTCTGACCTGGAGATGCTCCAAGCGTGGGGAATGTACGAGGCACCGCCTCGCCCTGCCCTGAAGACCAAAGGGCCCAGGGCGCTGTCCTCCTCAGACCAGTGGCCTCCACTTCCCTACACCCCAGGCTCCTCATCAAAAGCTCTCTGAGTTTCCCATGGAAGTTCAAAAGAGGGTTCCGAATGCTCTGGGCTCTTTGGGCAGCTCAGCTCTCCCTCCCCAAGCCCCCAGCCCAGCCACTCACCTTTCCTCCTTTCAACAGCGCTTTTCACCACCAGCCCCAGGAGTGCCAGCAGGAAAAGGCCCAGGATGGTCGAGATCAGAATGTGAAATCCTTGGCCTTCCCTCCCAGACCGTGAGCCATAGTCCAATGTTCTGGGGAGGGAAGGAAAGGTAGAGAGGGAGGAAGAGATTATTAAAGGAGGTAGGTTCAGGGCGTGCTTCTGTGTGGCCAACGTTTTTGAAGATGACTTACAGATTTGTCCTTTTGTTAACAGAATTCACTCCACTCCCCGCTCAAAAAGACTTGCATTTGGAGTCACGAAACTTAAATTCAAATTCATATTATGCCTTTTACTGGTTGTGTGATCTTGAATGAGTCTCCTAATCTCTCTGAGCCTTATCTCTTCGTAAATAGGTATAGTAAAATCTATTTCGCAGAACTGTTATGAGGATGAAATAAGAGTGGATATAAGGAATTTAACGCACCTTCCAATGTTCAGCACGTCAGTTTCTTCACGAGATTATTGCAGATATTGATTGGGTTAGTTCCTTATAATGGTGGGGAAAAGGATGTTTTTCTCATAGTGCTCCTTCTGCCTAGAAGTTCTCCCCTCAATTTTCTCTACATATTGAAATCTTACTTTTCTTAAAAGACGTTGTGTAAGTCCTCTTTTCTTCCTAATTGTGGTAAGCCAGACTGTGCGTGTGTGTGTGTGTGTGTGTGTGTCTGTGTGTGTGTGTGTATGCGCGCGCGCGCACGCGCGCGCGCTTTGGGTTTCCAATTCTGTGGTCATGGCTGTTTCAGGCTTTATCACAGTCAGACTTATGTTAGTAAGATCTGGATATTGCATACTGTCATCTTCTTGTATCTTCAGGACATAGCACAATGCCCGCTACATAGTAGAGAGTAAGAAAATGCTGGTTGGACTTGACGTTTTCCCTACTAATAGGTTAGGAATCAGGAGTCCTGGTTCTATTTGAAACCACTTGGTTCTCATGACCCCAGTTTCTCATACCTATAGAACCCAAATGATTTTGGAGGTCCTGTTTCTCACTAACACCTTTGTCTTTGCTTATGCAAAACCAGTTTTGATTATTGTAGGGTTTTTTTTTTTTTTTTTTGAGTCTGCTATAATGCTTCCCCCTAGTGGTATATTGCAGTACTTCCCTGGACTGCACCCCAGCCTTTAGACCAGTGCTGTCCAGGAGACATGTGAGTCACATATGTAATTTTAAATTTCCTAGTAGCCACATTAAAACAGTAAAAGGAAATGAGTAAAAGTAATTTTATATTACTAGTTTAATAGTTAAGTTTATTTTTATTCTCATTTAGTTCTTCCCCATCAAAATAGATTTGAATGAATCTGAGTGACAGGAAGAGCTGGGTTTCACTAGTTGCTACAGGATCAATGCTGGGGCATTGACAAGTGTGTTCTTGTTAAAAGAGCTAATGAGTTAATGAGCTATATTCACAGGTGGTATATTTCACAGTGGCCTAGAGACAAAGCTAAGGAGGGTGTCTAATAATGGGCATTGCAGTGGGTTTCAGTGGATCTCCTAATTCCAGCCTACATCTAGATCCTGGACAGTGTTCTCTTACCTCTGCCTGTGCAGCCTGGTGTGGTGGTTGTAGCTGGCTGTCCGAGGCTTGAGCAGCTTCTCCAGAGCTGAGATCTTTGAGGCTGTAGTGGATGGCAGGAAGGTTGGGGGCTCGTCACCTACTACTGAAGATGCTCTGGACACTCCAGGGTGGTGGGTGATTTGGGTGGTGGGGGAGGAGTGGTGGACTGGAGGAACCTTGGTCCTTTGAGCTGGTGTGGTAACTGCAGGAGGTAGCAGGAAAAAAATGATGTTCCTTTTATATACTCTATTCTCCAACAGGATTAGGTCACCACTTCTTTCCACAACATACCCTTCCCTTTTATGCAGACTACTTTTGTTCTTGCAGTCCTCGTGGCCTAAAATCCTTCTTAACATGCTATCCAGGCCTAGTCAATTCCAAGTATATTTGCTTCAAATACCATTTCTTCCAGGAAGCCTTCCCTGACTTCCGAGGTAGAAGAGCTTCCCCTCTGAGCAGAGGGAGAAGCTTTTTTGTAGTTCTATTCCCACTCTGCCTTGTGCTGTATTTGTGTGCTAATCTGTTCTCCCCCATCTCACACCTATCAGTCACAACCTTGGCTACACGATCTGTTCAATTACACTATCCCTCTTGGCTCTCAGTGGGGTTACCTAGTGTAATGTTGTTCAATTAATGTATCCACTTCATCGGCATATAGGATAATATGATGGAAATATTGCATGTCAAAATGCATTTAAAACTGGACAATGATATCAAAATGTAAAGGTATTCATTAGTATGAATATCCTTAATCTTTTAGTTGCAAAATAGAGTTAAAAATCATTAGATGCCAGCAGGTAGAAGACAGCCCTACGGGGAGCACGAGACATGATGATCTCCAGCTGGGAAATGTCTGCCCAGTCTTGGTTTCCGCAGTCATTCATAAAAGAGCTGGATTTTGTGAGTGGAGCACAAACGTCATTGCTTGTGGTGCCACCTGGTGGTAGTACGTAAGTTCTGCGGGTAGGACCAGGTGACCTGACTGTCGGACAGGCTTGAAGGATATGGACAGCAGATCTCAGGGAGGTATGTACCCTCTCTAAAGGCAGGGAATACACACCTAAGACTCAGCTCAGCTCTGCCAGCCACTCTATGAACTGAACATAGACCCCCTCCTCCGTTTTCACACTGCCACAGCATCTCACCCACCTCTCCTACCCTCGCTATGATGAACTGACCTCTGGTTACGACTTTGGAAGAACTGGCATATGGAGGCATCTGGAACAAATAGGGCAGATGAAACCATTTTGGAGTCTCAGGCATTGGCTGCTCTTCCCATGATGGCCCGTATTCTATTGGAGGGAAGCAGAATGTGTTGGTGATCTCTAGGAGGAGACTGAGGCTTGGGGAAGGGTCTGTTGGTGTAAACTGAAGCTAATTCAGCCAAAGTGGATGACAGTGAGGGGATGAGGGCAGGGTCCACTGAAAGAAGCAGAACAGGAGCTGGGTTGGGGGCTTCCCTGGAGGAAATACTGGTTCCCCTAGTCCAGTCAACATTCCCTGCAAAATCAGCAGAGGTCATTGGGATTCTAGGCTGTTAAATTACTGTTGCATATGTGTGGGGAACTCGGTGGAGGAAAGGAGAAAGGCAGGATTCCAGAGAAATAAAGGATCAGGTCATAGAGTAATAAGATTGGCCTATAAGTGTGGCTGGGTAAATTAGTGTCTTTCCTTTATTTCTCATGGGACAATTACATAGGATAGTTAGGTCGCTTTGCTTCCAATTTCCTCCATCTCAGAGCGTCTCCTCAATCTCAAGCCCCCACTCCCCTCATGCCCTGGGTAGGATGGACAATACAAAGAGAGTGCCTATCTTGTTCCTTACGTCCATGTTGGGTAGAAAATTCTGTGGACCATGAAGTTAATTGACTACGAGGTTTCATATGGATCTCAATCATTATGTGGCTTATATGGCAACAGTGTCAGAGTCTAGGGGACTGTTACAGTTAGATGACTGTCCCAGTCTTCCCATTTTCTGGGTAGTCTGAGCCTCCAATCAGCAGAGGAACCTACCACTGTGGACATTCAGGGTGACTTTCTGGGTCTTCCCCCTGTCTGTGTTCCTGCCCGCTCCACAGGCATAGACTCCGCTGTCACTTTCGGTCAGCTGTGTTACCTCCACTAGGAACAGATTCTTGCGTGGGTATTGCTTCAGAGTGACTCGGCCCTTGTATTCCATCTTGATGAAGTTGGTGGTAGATACCACAGTACCACATGTTCCAGATTCAACCATCTCCCGGCACAGATACATCCTCACATGCATTTCAGGAAGTGGGCACTTGATGGTAACTGATCCGCCCAGCTCTCCCTCTACCTTTACTTCTGGGAGGATCCTCAGGGCCCCTGATACTGCAGGGAGAAGAGATTAATGCAGAGGGAGCCCCATCTCTAGCTATATCCCAGCCCCATCCATTTCCCAGCTCCAGCTCTCTCGCCAACCATAGCCCAAGACCCAGCCCAATCTCACATTCATCCCCAGATCTAGCCCTGTCCCCATTATTAGCCTTGCCTCAGCCTATCCTTAGCCACAGCCTTATCCTCATTTCTTTTTTCTTTTTCTTTTCTTTCTTTTCTTCTTTCTTTCTTTCTCTCTTTCTTTCTTTTCCTTCCTTCCTTCTTTCCTTCTTTCCTTCCTTCCTTCCTTCCTTCCTTCATTCCTTCCTTCCTTCCTTCCTCCCTCCCTCCCTCCCTCCCTCCCTCCCTCTCTCTTTCTTTTCTTTTCCCCTCCCTTCCTCCCTCCTTCCCTCTCTCTCTCTCTCTTTCTTCTCTCTCTCTCTCTCTCTCTCTCTCTCTCTCTTTCTTCTCTCTCTCTCTCTCTCTCTCTCTCTCTCCCTCCCTCTTATAGGATCTCACTCTGTCACCCAGGCTGGAGAGCAGTGGTGTGATCATGACTCACTACAGCCTCAACCTCCTGGGCTCAAGCAATCCTCCCAACTCAGCCTCCCAAGTAGCAGGGACTACAGGTGCATGCTGCCATGCCTGGCTAATTTTTGTCTTTTTTGTAGAGATGGGGTTTTCATTATGTTGCCCAAGCTGGTCTCGAACTCATGGCCTCAAGTGATCTGCCTGCCTCGGCCTCCCAAAATACTGGGATTGAGCCACTGTGCCCGACCCTTATTCTCATTTCTACCCTTAGTCTCAACTTCAGCCTCGTCCCATCCCCAACCCTACCCACAACCTCAGGCCAGCTCTATGTTCACCCCCAATCCTATGCCCTAGTGTTACCTTAATTTAACCCTCAACTTTGGCCTCACCACCGAACCCAAACCCATAAGGAGACAGACACGAAACCCTTGAGATGATAATCAAAAGTATATCTCCCACTCCAAGGAGACATAATATGCCTCAGGTGACCCCAAACAGCACACAGTCCCCATGTGACCTCAGCGTGGTGCTGGCAGCATGGTGTGGTTGTGTTGCAACAGGTTTTCCTTTCCAGTTTGGTTTCGCTCAGCTGCATCCATCCAGCCATTCGTCTGCAGTTCTATTTATTAAATCATTCAACAAGCGTTTATTGAATGTCTTTCCTGTGACAGTAAACCAGCCTGCATTCCTCCCTCAGGAACAAATCATTTAGTGAGTGATACCAATCAATGGCCAGTGAGCAGTGTAATACATCCCATGAGAGAGATCGCACGGGGTTCCCTGGAAGGAGCGAACCCGGGCACCTGATGTAGGCTGTTGCGGGGGTGGCGTGGTTGGAGGAAGGCTTTCTGGAATAAGCGATGTCTGAGTTGTGACCTGAAGGAATGGGTATGGAGGGCAACTGAGAGTGACGATGCTCATCACAGAGGCGGGGGACATAGGAGGGGAATTGAGGGTGTGTGTGCATGTGTGCATAGGTGTGCACACACTGTATGTGTGATGGGGAGGGATAAAAGATATGGTTCATGAGTCCCTGACATCATAAAGCTTATGCTTTGAGTGAGAGAGGTCAGGTCTAATGCACTTGAGTCAGCTGCAGAAGAGGGTAAGGCCATGCCTGAGTAATTGCCAACTAAGTGGATCCCGTAAGTGTCTGCATATTTCTGGGAAGAAAGTTCATAGGGTAAAGCGTGTGCGTGTGTGGTGAGGTGGGGCTGGAAGGCTGAAGTGGAAGAGAAGAGAGTCTTCCAAACAGCCAGAACAGTCCCCTAAAAGACCAGGATATGAGAGAGAACATAGCATGTCCATGGGCGGAGAGAAGTTTGCAAACGTACTGAGATTTATCCACAGGGCATGCATTAAGAAGAGCACTAGGGAGTTTAGTCAAATGAGAGTCAGGGGAAGCTTAGGAAACAGGTGGGGATTGAGACTTTGGGATAAAGACATGCTGGGCAAAGGGAAGAATTCTGACAATGGTAAAGAGGTAAAAACAATTGTGGGAGCAGAAAAGGGGGTTGGAGAGGGTGGGGAGGGTTAGAGAGGGAGGATGTACGGGAGCATGTTGAGATCTAAAAGTGTAGCTGACATAAACATGGTAAAGACTACAGAAGAGGGTAAGGCCATGTCTGATTAATTGCCAACTAAGGCAGATGGACCAGCCAAAAACATGAACTCTGACATGGAAACCCTCACATGAAAAGCCCAGCACAGCTTTAAACCCACTGGAAATCAAGTCATGAGGTAGCCTCACAACTAGACATTGCAATGGAAAGGTGACCTGTCACAAAGTGTCAATCAACAGACAAAGACACAATCAAAGGGAGGTCTGGAGGAATCACTTTGTGCATCCAGACAGCCCCCACCTGTGTGGGAAGCTGAACGCCGAGGGTGGAAGCACATGGAAGTGTTTGAATGAGACTAACCCAGCCAGGAGGGAGGTGTGAATGCCACTTTCCCAAGAGCAAGATGGTACAAAATGGGCAGGGGGAAGATAGCAGAAATGGGGTCATCACCTATGTAGCAACCTCCAGCAGCCTCAGGCTGCCCAGGGTTGAGCTTTCGGTAAATCCCTGGCTTACCTGTTCAGCTCCTTGTGCAGACCCTGGATGGATGAAGTGCAAGGAAAGCTACTGGCTATGCTGAGCTCTGGTCCACAAGGAAGCAGTAGCTGGTGATGTGAAAATGACCAGACCCCAAGAAAAAGAAACTAGTTATCCTCAAGTTCATGGTAGCTTCTAACCTATTCCCAAGACTTAGTAAAGCAGATTTTGAAAACAGAGAAAAGACAGATATAAGCTACTGGTTTAGGCATCTAAAGTAGCACAGTGTGCATGAGACTCATCTGAGGAGAATGGCTACAATGCAGACGACCTGATCCTGTGCTTAGGAATGGTGATTACATGTATCTGTGGCATGGTCTAGAAATATGTGTTTTTCAACAAGTGTCCCAGGTGCCCTTGCATTTCTGCAATCCTGGGCTATATAACATTTACAAATGATTCCGGGGAAGAAAAGGAGGAACTGGAGAAGGCTTCAAAAGGAACCAACCTGTTCAATAGTAATATTTTTGAGAGGCTGCTAAGTGACATTAATCTCTAAATTGGTGACTTGATTTTCAGTGGTTATGATAGGGAAGAGGGAGAAATGTGGCTTAAAGAATCACTCTCAATATATAACTGGATGTAAATACATGATTCGAAAATGGGAAAACATTTTCACCATACAAAATAAGGTCAAGGTTCATAGGTCCTTGGTGGCTGGGGAGCTCTGGAGAGGGACTCTGGCACCCACTTAGGGGTGATTTTCCAGTGGAAGTGCAAATGAGGACCTAGTCAACTCAAATCAGAGCAGATCTCAGGAAGAGGAGAGTTGGCCTGTGATTTTTATGTTTATCAAAAGGGGCATGGATTTTTTTTTAAAAGGATGAGAAACATCCCACTCAGCTTCTTATTTCCAAATACAGTAGCCTGGGTGTGTCCAGGCCTGCAGCCTGTCACAACGAATGAAGTGTCTATCTCCTTTCAAAGGCCAGCCCCTCCACCTGTACCCTGAGTCCATCATTCACATATGTTTTAGTTCTTCTTGTCTGCAATGATCCTGTTTCTTTCTCTGGCTATTGGAGAAAAATGGCCTTCTCATCTAGCATTGCCATAGCTTACACACATGTCCTGCTATTGCCCATCTTTTCTTCTTCTTCTTTTTTTTAAGACAGGGTCTTTCTCTGTCGCCCAGGCTGGAGTGCAGTGGTGCAATCTTGGCTCACTGCAGTCTCCACTTCCTGGGCTCAACTGAGGCTCCCACTTCAGCCTCCTGAGTAGATGGATGGGATTACAGCGCCTGCCACCACACGTGGCTAAATTTTTGGTAGAGATGGGCTTTCACCATGTTGCCCAGGCTGATCTTGAATCCCAGCTCAAATGATCCATCCACCTCGGCCTCCCAAAGTGTTGGGATTGCAGGCATGAGCCTCCGTGCCTGGCTTTGCCCATCTTTAAAAACTCCCCAGTTGACCTTTGCCTCCCCTTCACCTGCCAACACACCTCTTTATTCTCTTTATCAAACCAGTCATCAAATTTGCTAAATCAGATTCACTTCCACACCTCCCAATTTCTCTTCAATCCACTCCTATCAGAATTTCGTGTCCAGTGTTCCGCTGAAACTGCTCTTGTCAAGTCACTGAAGTTCTCCTGTTGCCACATGTAATGGTTGCCTCTTTATCTTTGTTTCCCCTCATCCTCTCAGCAGCGGTTGACAGAATGGAGCCGGCCCATCTTGAAACACACCCTTGGTGTGGCTTCCCCAGTGCATACCCTCAGTGGTGGCTCCCTGTCAGCCTGCGTTCTTCCTCTCCTTCTCTCCCACCTCTCCATACTGGCTAGCCCAGGGCCTGTGCCTTGCACCTGTTCTTTTCTCTGTCCTCCTTCCCTCTCTGCCCTCACTCGCTCATTGACTCCCATGGCTTTTATGGCTAATGCTATAGATTCCATCAAAACATGATCTCCAGTTTTACCTCTGAGCTCCAGACTTGCCTCTGACGTCTCCACTCGGACCCTACTTGAATGTGTATGATATATGCCAAACTTAGGACAGCCAAGAAAGAACTGATTTCTCTTCCAAAACCCTCACTTACTCTTCCAATGATCCCATCATCCACCCAACTGCTGAAGCCTAGAACTCATCTTCATGTCAAAGAATAAAGAATAAATTTTAAGTGTGTGTGTGTGTGTGTGTGTGTGTGTGTGTGTGTGCTGGGTCCCAGCATCAAATGTATGTATGTATATATGTTTGTATGTATGTATGTGTGTATGTATGTAGTATTGGTCAAGGTAAAAAGGTTTGAAAGCTCACACTGCATGACACTGCCTTGCTTTATTAAAGAGCTCTAGACAGGGCTCCAGGCAAAGTGGCCTACAGTTTGTGCCTCATGTACTAGGCCCTAGGGAGGCCCACCCCAGCATTTGCAGGACCTGGGGTAGGAGTACAAATTAAGGCCCAAATACCGTATATCTGAATATTTTTAAGTTATAAATCAAGTGAATGAACTGTTAAATAAAATTCCCTTTACTTACCTAGCTTGACAAATGCACCCTCTTTGGATGTTCACTCTACTCTGTGGCCATGCAAGGAAAACAACCCCAAGCTTCCTGCCCCCAGCCTCTGCCCACCTTCCTTCTCATCCCTTCCTCCTGCCCACAGCACAGGGGTCCTGGTATATACATAGTAGATACCTCAGCTTGCAAGTACAGTCTTTGTCCACTCCCCACCTTCTTCCCAAATAGCCACCTGTGGCCACCTTTTATAGGCCAGGGGTCAATCTCAAGAGGAAGACCCAGGATAGAAGCTTGCACCATCATTGAAAAGGGCCCACAGTCATGTGGACAGGGAATTCTAGTTCTAAAAGAGAGTTTGGGTAGGGCATGCTGGCTGGGGCCTGTAATCCCAGCACTTTGGGAGGCTGAGGCAGGCTGATCACTTGAATCCAGGAGTTTGAGACCAGCCTGGGCAACATGGTGAGACCCTATCTCTATTAAAAATACAAAAATTAGCCAAGAGTGGTGGCATGTGCCTGTAGTCCCAGCTACTCAGGAGGCTGAGGTGGGAGGATCACTTGAGTCTGGGAAGTTGAGGTTACAGTGAGCCGTGATTGCACCACTGCATTCCAGCCTGGGTGACAGGAGTGAGATCCTGTCTCAAAAAAGTGGGGTTGGGTGTGGGCTTGGGGCGTATGCATCTCCCTGGCCTGTGAACTCCTCATCCTGTGGGCATGGGCATGACTGGAGGAGGGTGGGGCCCATAGTGAGATCCCTTTTGGCCCACCTAGAATGGGGGTACTTCTCAGGACAGACTGAAGTCGTGCAATTTGAGGATCCTTCATGCCTTTAGGTCTTCCACTCCCCACCAAATCCCCTCTTCCTCCTCAGGCCTAAGTTTAGTTAACCATCCACCATACCCTCCTATGTCCTACGGCCTCTCACAGTGTTTGATGTTTCATGTAAACTCCATTCCACTGGACTTTTAGAGATTTTCAATCTTCAGCTCAACAAATACCTGCGTTTCTTTCATACTCAAGACATCGCAAAGAAAGCAAACATCAATAGGAAGCCATTTCAACCCACAAGGAACTTGTCACTGAATAAGCCAAATTAAGATGGACACATATTAAACATAATACAAGGCAGCTATTGGGCTCAGAAGAGGGGCCTCAGGAATGTCTACAAGAAGGAGGTGAAGTTTGAGATGAACTTTGAAGAACCCATAAAAAGTGAAGGTGACCAGGTGTGGTGGCTCAAGCCTGTAATCCCAGCACACTGGGAGGTCAAGATGGGTGGATCATCTGAGGTCAGGAGTTCAAGACCAGCCTGGCCAACATGGTGAAACCCCGTCTCTACTAAAAATACAAAATTTAGCCAGGCACGATGGCGCACACCTGTAATCCAGCTACTTGGGAAGCTGAGGCAGGAGAATCGCTTGAACCCAGGAGGCGGAGGTTGCAGTGTGACAAGATCATGCCACTGCACTCCAGCTGGGGCAACAGAGAGAGACTCTGTCTCAAAAAAAAAAAAAAAAAAAAAAAAAAGAATGGTGAAGGTGAGAGGAAGGGTGTTCCTGGTCCTGGCAGAAGGCACAGCATGGGCAAGGGCATGGTGGCAGGAGTGTATGGCTTGTGTTCAAGGAGAAGTCCTATTGGCCGGAGGTTAAGAAAGTGTTGGGGAGTGTGGTAGACTCAGAGTATGAAAGAGGGGTACAGGGAGGAGTGTACATTGACTTCAGTAGGCAGTAGAAGTCATTAGAGGTTCTTGGGAGAGGTAATCCTGTGATTAGAAGTCAAGTTTAGGAAAATTAATCTGGTGCTGCAGGCATCCTGAGTTAGAAGAAGTGGGAAAGATAGTTAAGAGGGGATTGTGTGTTCTTTTCCTGTTCATTTCCTCTGTTACCTTCCTAATGTCAATTGCTGCTGCTTCTTATCCCGGTAGATAGGGATCTAGAAACTGCACGATTTGGCCATTGATTGGATCAAGGTCTGAATGAGGATAAATCAGAAGAGGTGGTAATTAGCCATTCTGGCATTTTGTGGCTGATGATCAGAGATACTTCAGACAGGTGAAATAGCTGGTTCGGATGGTGATCAATGAGGAGTTTGAGGTAAGGTTAGGTGGGCTACATTTCAAATCTCAGTGGAATATTGAAGTAGGGGTTGCCCAGGAGACAGCTGTAAATTGAGATGTGGAATTCAGGAAATAGATTAGAGCTACTGAATGGATTACAGAGTTTTCATTTAGGGTTGAAAGCTGGAAATTCAGGACTGAAAAAGATCTGTGAAAAGAGCATAGAGATAAGAAGAAAGAAGTATGGAGACACTCGCTTCAAGATCCCATAATAATACGCAATACATTTAGGAGAGATGACACCTTCAACTCTTAAGAGTTAACACCTGGCTGGGCACAGTGGCTCACACCTGTAATCCCAGAGCTTTGTGAAGCTGAGCCAGGAGGATCACTTAAGGCCACAAGTTCAAGACCATCCTGGGCAACACAGCAAGACCTCAACTCTACAAACAAATTAAAAATTAGCTGGGCATGGTGGCATGCACTTGTAGTCCTAGCTACTAGAGAGTCTGGGGTGACAGGATCACTTGAGCCCAGGAGTATGAGACTGCAGTTAGCTGTGATCACACCACTGCACTCCAGCCTGGGTGACAGAGTTAACACCTGACTGAAACAGGAGAGTGTCTGGAGTGGAGAAAGGAGCATTAGCAGAGCCCTGGGAATGAGTGAGGAGGGCATCCAACACCTCACGTGGCCTCCATTCTTGCCCTACCCTAGGTGTTGGTTTGCAACTGAATCCATCCAGAAACATCAGAGCTAGAGCTACCAGGCAACTCTTCTACTTGTGGCCAATTCAAAACTCATTCAGAGGTCTGAAGTGTTTCCCCATAGTACTTACCTGGCAGGAAGTAAAGTGACCAAAGCCAGAGGTCCATTGTTCCTTCTAGAGTGCAAGATCCACCCAAGAGCCCCTAGAGAGGGGGATGGAGACACGCTGCTTACTCAGGAAGCCTTCACAATCTGGAGCTAGAAAGAGATTTCTAGCCCCCACGAGGAACAAAGCTTCACGATGAGGAAATGACAACCTCCCTTGTTTGCTAACTAGTCTTAGGCTAAAAAGAGAGTGCTGACAAACCGCAGAGGAAGTCAGGAGCTGAGAAAACATGTTATGTGGAGTAAGAAAGGGTCACCCCGCTCAAAAGGCATCTAGGAAGTTCCTCCAGACTATTAGCAGCGACCAGGCCTGATATTCCTTTGTCTTGGTGCTTTTTCTTAGCAGGGCCTCCCGTGCTTTCCTTATACTCATTGGTTTCCGAGCTGGGGTCATTTGCTTTCATTTGGCCTTCAGGATAAAAGAGCCTTATCACCAATTTTCCCTACCTGAGAAAGGCTATATGGGCAGATGCTTGGGCCTGAAGTCAGAAGATGCTGACTGTAGTCCTTACCAGTCACCAGTTAACTCATCTTTACAAACGTTTTTGAGCACCTACTATGTGGGGATACTAACTATGGACTTTGAGCAATCCATTACTTTTCTCTGAGCCTCAATTTCTTCAATCTAGGAAATAAGTGAAGCTGGGACTAGATGGTCCCTGGCATTCCCTCCTGCAGAACATAGTTCCTGGGGACTTTACCATAGCTCCGCAGCACCTCAGCCATCCGTCACCCTTCGTCTCCCCCAACTGTCCCCACAAGGTGCTGCCCTGTGGCAAGGGCTCAGGCCTCTGTTCAGTGACCACCAGGGCAATATAAGAACTGGGCTGTGACAGGTCATCCAGCCACTTTGCCTGAAGTCACGGCAGCCTGGTAGAGCCCTCCTTCAGGACCCCAAGGGCCCAAGGGTAAGTCCCATGACTGATGGAGAGAGATGCTGAGGCCACAGGGCATCTTGGGAAGAGTTTTGGATGCAAGTCAGAAGACCTCAGGTCTTGTCCTGCCTTGGCACTTTCTAGCTTTGGGCAAATTTCCCTGGGCCTCGGTTTTTTCCTTGATAAAGTAGGGATTGCCCCTGCCCTGCCCACCTCACATGGCTTTTCTGAGGCCCAGCGGAACCCACAGGCATGGAAGTGGTTTAAGCAGCCTTCATTGTGAGCTGCGCAGGGGTGTTACTTATAAGGGCATTCCCAGGGCTCTGTTTCTGGAAGTTTCATCCCTGGAGGTCAGTTCCCAGGGCCCAACCTCAGGTGCAAGGACCTCTTGTGCCCCTGGAGGATCCAGGTTATTCTCATACTGTTTCTGGGGAGGGTGTGACTGACAGAGCCGATTCCACAGTGATCATGTAAGCCACTCCCTGCTCGCCCCCACACAGCAGACTTGTCACACGTTCTCCAAAACAACAACATCCGCGGTGGAAGTTGAATGTGAGGCTCAGAGCAGGTGCAGAGGAAGTGTGTGTGGGGGTTGGCAGCATGCCCTGCCCCATCCCTATCTGAGTCTCCCCTGGCCCAGAGCAGCTGCGGTTGTGATGTCCTCCAGCCCCGAAATGGGCCAAGATGGCAGAGGGCAGCCTCGGGCCTCTGCTTAGTGAGTGCCAGAGCTCCGAGCTGGGATCAGCCCCACTCTGCCCTACTTAGTGGGCTCTTCCCAATGCCCCAGAGCTGTCACACAGCTGGGCTTCACCCTGCGCTGAGCTCGAGGCCCGGGGCTGTCTTGGAGAGACAGAGAAGGAGAATATGAGTGAATGGACATGATGTGTGTGGGGGCAAGAGTGTGTGAGTATGAATATATGTGTGAATGTGTGAGTGTGTGGTGTGTGTTGTATGACTGATGTTTGAGCGTGTGAAGTATGGGTGGTGTGTGACTGAGGTGTGGTGTGTGAGGGTGCAATGTGTGTTGTGTGGTGTGTGTGTGTGGTGTGTCTATAGTGTGTGTGTAGTGAGAGTGTGAACATGTAGTGGGTGGCTAAGAGTGTGTGAGTGTATTATGTGTAGCGTGTGTGAATGTTTGATGTGTGGCAGTAAGTGTGTGATGTGTGTAGTGTGTGAGTGTGCAAATGTATGATGTGTGGCTATGAGTGTGTATGTGCTGCGTAGTGTGTGTGAATGTAGGATGTGTGGCTGTGAGTGTGTGATGTGTGTAGTGTGTGTGTGTGAAGATGTGGTGTGTGGCTCTATGTGAGTGTGTCCTGTGGAGTGTGTGAGTGTACA